TTTAGCATAGCCTATGGTATACAATAAAATAGTTAAGTAGCTTAAGCATATTTGTAACTGAGGTCAACTTTCGTTTGGTGATGTCTTTTCGCGTTCCCGTCGCCGCTTGGCGCTCTGCACAGAACTGGAGTAGCTCAGCGCATCCTTGTCGAATTCCATTGGCATTATTCCCAAATCGCCGCTGTAGCGATTTTTGGCCACTTGTAGATACTTTTTGCCTCGCACTGCGGTCAGCCGCTTGTCCTGTATGATTAGGACATTGTCCGCTTCCTGGGTGGCCTTTGCGGTGCCGAAGACCGAGCTCGTTGTCAGCTCATCCTCCTGCCGTTCTTTGCGTGGATGCATGACCAGCGTTACGTGCACATTATGTTTAGTGGCAAAACCACGAAACGCCGCTATAATCGAATCCTGTTCCCAAAACTTGTCGCCGCGGTACGACGAAACGCCCATCATAAACTGTAAATTATCAATGATCACGTGGGAAATGTCGTGCACGTATTGGGCATGCTCAATCGCCTCTAGCACTGGCTTGAGCGGCTGCTGGCCATGAAAGGTCATAAAGTAGAGCGGCAAACGCTCAAACTCTGTGGCCCAATGATCAAACTCCTGTAGCTTATCATCAAGAGGATAGCCCACAAATTGACGCAACAAAGTTGCAGCCAGGCGTGTATTGCGTATCTCGAAGGACCCCCAGAGTGTGCTCACGCCCTGCATGGCCAGATCCAGAGAATATTCGCTGGTGAACGTCGTCTTGCCGCTGCCCGTTGGCCCAGTCAATATAGTGAGCTCGCCCTTGCGATGTCCCTTGAGCAGCTTGTTGAGCACCGGAAAGCGTTTCCACTTAACGCCATTCACCTTCTCGATGTTCTGCAGCTCACTGAGAATATCGTTGCGCAGGGCATTAAATGTGGTGATCGCCTTGTGGCGCACCGGCGTCGCTTTGGCTAAAATGTGGCGAATGTTGAGGCGCCGTTTCAGAGCCACATGCGGCGCTGGCTCTGTTTCCGTGGGTCGTATTAAGAGGCAACGTTTCTCATCCATCTTCTGGGCAAAAGCGCTCGCCGCATCCCAACTAGGCGTGGCATCGTAGTGCAGCCAGAAGACCAACTCCTTGAAGCGCTCCAGTCCAGGCAAGCACTCCTGCGGCAGCTGCTGCATGGCATACGGCAAGCAGATGATGC